CCCTTGGTATGGGCTGCTGAGTGTGGCATCCCGGGAATGCTGCAAGCCCCACTGGTACCTGCTGGCACCCGTTGCTCAGCCTATGCCATGGTGTCCTGCCATGATGAGTATGCTCTCTGACTCCTTCCCCCAGGAGACTTCTTCAGAGAGTAAAATCACAGAGAACTGGCTCCACTGATTTATCCACCCATCCATCCATCCATCCATCCATCCATCCATCCATCCATCCATCCATCCACCCACTCACTCAACAAATAGTTCCTGAGCTTTCATTTGGCAGCACGCAGTACACAAAGATACCCAGAGGCAAACAAGGTGTCTATGGTCTGTGTTAAGAAGGGGACAGACAAGGGACAGGGACACATATATACAAGCAGGACGAGGCCAGGTGGGATAAATGCTATGAAAGTGAGTGGTTGGTGTGTACAGGCGTTTTACTCAGGGGCTGCGGGGAGGAGGGAGACCCCATCTGAGGGAGGACAGAGGCCGTGGAGGTGGGAAAGGAGTTGCGAGGGTGGAACAGGCCCCGGGGCTTTAGGAGGAGGTTGCTGGGATGGGACAGCCATGGCAGGCTGTGCCTCCACTGTGCTGGTTTGAATTGTTGTCTGTGTGAGGTGCCCAATTCCAGCAGAGGCAGAGTGGGGGCAGAAGGCGGCTGAGTAGCCAGGGCCTGGATGTGTTTGAGGAAAGCATTGACAGTGGCTGGTGACGGCTTGGGTGTGGGCGTGTGGGATAAAGGAGAGTCAAGGTGGAGGGAGATGTAATTTTGGGTTAAAAATGAAGTGTTCTGTGTTGGACAGAGCTGTTAGGAGAGTAAGCAGAGATGACAAATTGGCTTCTGGCGCTGGAGCTATGCTCAGGAGACTGGAGCTGTGCATAAAGCCCAGACCTGTGAAACCAGCCAAGGAGCGAATGGCCAGCAGGGGGAAAAGGGACCACAGACACTGTAGTCCGATGCTTGAAGTGAGAGAGTTGGAGGAGGCTAGTCCTGGGAGGACAGAGATAAGTGTCTCCACGTGCAAGAAGCCATCAGCACATCAGACACTGTCCAGATCTTGGGGACCAGGGCATAGAGCACGACCATTGGTCTGGCCAAACAGCTTTCTGGGCATCTTGATATGACAGTCTTGTGGACTGAAAGAGACTGGAGCCTAGCTCCAGAGAAGGATGCAAGACACTGGCCAGAACTGCACTGAAGACTGCGAGAGCTGAGAGTTGAGTCTTCTCCATTCCTCCCCACTCCCTCCCTCCCTCCCACCCCTCTCTCTCTCTCCCTCCCTCCATCCCTCCCTCCCTCCTTCTATCTAAGTCTCCCTTCCATATAACTCTTTCCTTTTAATATCTCTGATTTGTAGGGGTTTTTTTTCTTCTGCAAAATGGCAGTCTCAGATGTCAATGGATCTCCATGAATAAGAGTCTCACTGTGTAGCTCTGGCTGTCCTGGAACTCACTCTGTAGACCAGGCTGGCCTTGAACTCACAGAGATCTGCCTGCCTCTGCCTCCCAAGTTCTGGGATTAAAGGTGTGCACCCAGCTGGAACTAATCTTAAATACATGCTCTCACGGGGAATTAGATATCAGCACAAGTAAGTTTTTGGAGGGCATTCTGGCAACAAATAGAAAAATTTAGAGTGTATATCCTTTGACCGACCCTTTGAGAACTTGCCTGGAGAAATGCTTGCATATGCACACAAGGATGCGGGATTTCCCACGTACCCACCACTCAATAAGTAATGCTTGAAACAGAAAGGTGGCACCTCCGGGCGTACATCCCTGGAGTTCCTGGTCATCTGGAGAGGATGTGCCCCCTTGTGGAGGAGCACAGTGTAGCCTGTGAGGCACTTGAGGCCCCTTGGCAGTGTCCGCTTGCTCTCTAACCAGAAATGCTTGGGCACACCAGTATCCTGTAGTGCAGTGGTTCTCAACCTTCCTGATGCTGCGACCCTTTAATAAAGCACCTCATGTTGTGGTGACCCAAACCATAAAATTATTTACTTGCTATTTCATAAACATAATTTTGCTAGTTATGAATTGTAATGTAAATATCTGATATGTGACCTCCAAAGGGGTCACCATGCACTGGATTAGAAGCACTGCTCTAGAGAACAATGGACTGGGTGGTATCATGTAAAAAGATGTACTATGGAGACCAACCGGGTTAACACGTGGAGCTCTCAGCCTGCTGTGTGGTGCATAGTAGGGGCTGAGTGAGTACAAGTAATGCTTGATGCTCTGTGAGAGCATGGAAAGATCTATAATACACTGTGAAGAGCACAGGAGCTCTGTACCCCAGTGTAGACTGTGTGTGCTCCTCTCTACAGGAGCTCTGTACCCAGTGTAGAGTGTGTGTGCATCTCTACAGATCCACATGTACCCAGTGTAGACTCTGTGTGCATCTCTACAGATCCACATGTACCCAGTGTAGACTGTGTGTGCTCCTCTCTACAGGAGCTCTGTACCCAGTGTAGAGTGTGTGTGCATCTCTACAGATACACATGTACCCAGTGTAGACTGTGTGTGTGCATCTCTACAGATCCACATGTACCCAGTGTAGACTCTGTGTGCATCTCTACAGATACACATGTACCCAGTGTAGACTGTGTGTGTGCATCTCTACAGATCCACATGTACCCAGTGTAGACTCTGTGTGCTCCTCTCTGCAGGTGCACATGTACCCAGTGTAGACTCTGTGTGCATCTCTACAGATACACATGTACCCAGTGTAGACTGTGTGTGTGCATCTCTACAGGTGCACATACACCCAGTGTAGAGTGTGTGTGCATCTCTACAGATACACATGTACCCAGTGTAGACTGTGTGTGTGCATCTCTACAGATACACATGTACCCAGTGTAGACTCTGTGTGCATCTCTACAGGTGCACATACACCCAGTGTAGACTCTGTGTGCTCCTCTCTGCAGGTGCACATGTACCCAGTGTAGACTCTGTGTGCATCTCTACAGGTGCACATGTACCCAGTGTAGACTCTGTGTGCATCTCTACAGATCCACATGTACCCAGTGTAGACTGTGTGTTCATCTCTGCAGGTGCACATGTACCCAGTGTAGACTGTGTGTGCATCTCTACAGATCCACATGTACCCAGTGTAGACTCTGTGTGCTCCTCTCTGCAGGTGCACATGTACCCAGTGTAGACTCTGTGTGCATCTCTACAGATACACATGTACCCAGTGTAGACTGTGTGTGTGCATCTCTACAGATACACATGTACCCAGTGTAGACTCTGTGTGCATCTCTACAGGTGCACATACACCCAGTGTAGACTCTGTGTGCTCCTCTCTGCAGGTGCACATGTACCCAGTGTAGACTCTGTGTGCATCTCTACAGGTGCACATGTACCCAGTGTAGACTGTGTGTGCTCCTCTCTGCAGGTGCACATGTACCCAGTGTAGACTCTGTGTGCATCTCTACAGATCCACATGTACCCAGTGTAGACTGTGTGTTCATCTCTGCAGGTGCACATGTACCCAGTGTAGACTCTGTGTGCATCTCTACAGATACACATGTACCCAGTGTAGACTGTGTGTTCATCTCTGCAGGTGCACATGTACCCAGTGTAGACTCTGTGTGCATCTCTACAGATCCACATGTACCCAGTGGAGACTCTGTGTGCTCCTCTCTGCAGGTGCACATGTACCCAGTGTAGACACTGTGTTCATCTCTACAGGTGCACATGTACTCAGTGTAGACTCTGTGTGCATCTCTACAGATACACATGTACCCAGTGTAGACTCTGTGTGCATCTCTACAGGTACATATGCACCCAGTGTAGACTCTGTGTGTGCATTTCTGCATGTACACATGTACCCAGTGTAGACTCTGTGTGTGCTCCTCTCTACAGGTGCAAGTATATCCCAGAGGGCACTCAGTAGCTCTGAAAATTTGTCTAGGACAGGAGTTTGTCTCTTGTCCTTGATTAGTGAAACAATACTCTGTAATAATGGAAATTTAGATTTTGGGGAGTTTTGTTGTTTGTTTGCTTTGAGACAGAATTTCTCTGTGTAGTTCTGGTTGTCCTGCAACTCACTCTGTAACCCAGGGTGGCCTTGAATTCAGAGCAATGTAGGTTTCTGCCTTCCCAGTGCTGGTATTAAAGGTGTGCACCACTACAACCTGACTTGGAAATTTAGATTTTTACCTTCTCCTAGAAGTCTTCTGGGACTGCACCAGCCCAGAGCCATTTACTGTGTTTGGAAAGCACACCCCTAGTGCTGCTTTGAGTTTGATGTGAGTGTGCACGCAGGTGTGTGTGTATGAGTGTGTGTGTGTGTGTGTGTGCATTTTCAGCCTATGAACTTCTTGAGTCTAGACTATATGCTTTGCAGGTATATGTTCCAGGTACATACAACTAGGTACTTGTTCAAAACCAGACGTTGTTCAAAGGGGACCCCAGTTGGCAGTACTAGCACCCAGGGGAGCCTGCTTGAAATGCAGATTCTCAGACCCACCCAGGACCTGTGCTCAGAAACTCCAAGGTTGGCAGCAAACTGTGTTGGATGTACCTGCTTCTGCTGGGTAAAGGGCCAACCCAGAGTCACAGGGTGAGCCAGTGACAAGCTGAATTAGACTGGGTGAGGATGCCAGGCATATGCAGGCCTTAAGGCTCTATTCCTGCTAACTCTCCTGGGCTCCTTTGGACCATGGCCACACCTGGTGTCGAGGGGGAATTTGAGGACCAGCCCTTTGTGTTCAGGTACCACACAACTGTCCTTGTTGCTGTGGGTAGTCCCGGTGAGCTGGGGTGGGTGGGGGCTGCTCTCCTCGTTCACATATTTCAGGGCAGATGTGGAGCCTGGGCTGGCCTGAGCAAGCCCTCAGATCCCAGTCAGCAGCAGCTCTGGCCTGGAGTCTGCACAGTCTCTCCTCTTGCCTCTTCTGCCCCTGGGCACGGGAAGTTCAGGCTAAACAAGGGTTTGGGTGAGGCACACTGCAGGGTAGGTCTGGGTGTCCACTCATCTCTTCCCTGGTGTTTCTCTGCAGGAGTCCTGCTGAGGAGCTGAGAGACTGGAGTGAGGCCTGACAGAGGTGAGTCCTTAGTCCCCTGTTGTCCTGTCTCCTGAAGGCTGCTTCTGTTTCCTCAACCATGGTGGTGGTGGGGGGAGTTGCTGAGTTATTGAGTGAAGAAGAGGGCAAAGTTTGGAAGTCAGCTTGGGGGCGGGAAGTGGCTCATAGTCTACTGAGGCCAGGCTTATGGGTGATCCAGGCCCTGTGGAAGTCAGGACACCAGCCAGCAGCAAGGCCTCTTTTAGGGGGAGAACAGAGCTGTGAGCCTGCAGGTAAGAGTAAGCCAGGCGGGGAAGTTGGGGCTGGGGCTTGTCTGGCTGTCAGACCCTGGCTTTGTGTGTGTGTGTGTGTGTGTGTGTGTGTGTGTGTGTGTGTGTGTGTGTGTGTGTGCTGAGATCAGTAAGCTCTTTGAGGGTTCCATTTTCTTTCTCACCAGCACTGCTGGCCTAGGGTGTGTGTGTGTGCATGCGTGTGTGTGTGTGTGTGTGTGTGTGTGTGTGTGTGTGTGTGTGTGTGCTGAGATCAGTAAGCTCTTTGAGGGTTCCATTTTCTTTCTCACCAGCACTGCTGGCCTGGGGTGGGTGTGTGTGCGTGCGTGTGTGTGTGTGTGTGTGTGTGTGTGTGTGTGTGTGTGTGTGTGTGCTGAGATCAGTAAGCTCTTTGAGGGTTCCATTTTCTTTCTCACGAGCACTGCTGGCCTGGGGTGAGGCAGTCAGCAGACTCATGGCAGGTGCTTTGCTGAGTCCCTGTCTGGACTCCCAAGACACTCCTGCAGACTTTGGGTTTTAATTTCTCATCAGAGTCCAAGTGTGTCTGCTGAGTCAGCCTTACTTCCACATGGTGAGCCAGCAGAGGAGACTATGGAGGTAACTCCCAAGCCTGGTAGGGGTGACTAATGTCATGAGCTGAGGGTCAGGTTTCACACCTCTCTGTGACCCCCCTCAATTTTCTGTTGGGTCAAAGGAGATTTCTGAAAATTAATCCTCCTGGATGTTACTCTGTGTAAAGAAGGTCATGCACACAGTTGGTGCTCAATAAACAGTAAAACACACACTCACCAGTTGCTAAGCAACTGAGGTGTGGGAAGAGAGTGATGACTTGAGGGTCAGGGAAAGCACAGCCTTTGGTAGCTGAGGCCTCTGCCAGGGCCTATCACTCCAGAGCAGAGATTTGCTCTGTGGAGGGATCCAGGCTGCCTGCCTGGAGGAGGGGCAGTAATTGTTACTAATTTGCATGCTCAATCACCTCTTTTTAAGTTTTCAAGAAACCTTTCCAGACTTTAATTAGCTCATTCGTCTTAGCAACAACAATCTCAGGAAGGAGGAGTTTGTTCCCTTCTTAGAGGTGGGGGAGCCAAAGCTGTGGGTAGGGAAGGAACCTTGTGGTGGGGCAGGCTGAGGCCTGGGCCCCTACTCCTGGACCCATCGTCCAGACTTGGACTCTTGGGGGGGGGGCACTGGGGCTGCTGTCAGGTCCTAGAGACAGTGGAGATGCACAAGGGACCAGGCCATAGCCAGAAGGGAACTTCTGTCCTTCACAGATGTGACCTGCTTGTCTCTCCTCTGCATTTGGGCCCTGCCAGCCCCTCCTGCTGTAGTGTGCCTCCTTTGATAGGCCATTCTGCCTCTTTTGATAAGTCACCCTTGGTGTCCCTTCTTAGGGTGGGTGAACAGGCCCAGTCCTGCTTAGTTGGGTGAGCTCAAGCTATTGGTACTTGTCCCAGGTGGGGCTGGCTGACCACTATTTATGGGGAAGGATGGAAATGGGCAGGGAGGTCACGTGAGGAGCCCACAAATGTGTGGCATTTGGAAGCATGGATATCGTGTGGGGCAAGGGAACAGGGAAGAGGTGGGTTCGAGTCTACAGGGCTGTCAGCATTGCTGGATATGGCTTCGGAGCAATTAGTGGGCTGGCCCCAGGAGACCTCTGAGATAGAGAAGACTGCACGTTGGACAGTGCCCAAGTGAGCATGTGTGTGAGAGTGGGCTGAGGGAAGCCTGGGAAGAGATACTATGGAAATCCAGGGCGGTTACGTTAACATCAGCTAGGGCAAGAGGAGAAGTGTGGGGCATATGGGTGTGTGGCTTCCCCCTGCAGTCACGGCTGGGCCTGAGCTGTGCCAGGGTTGGACAGTGCCCTGCATTGGTAGAGCCACACACGTTCCACAGGTGGACACCTGTCTGAGGGGACCAGAGTGTGAGGGTTTTGACAAGGGGAGTTTGATACAGGCAGCTGAGCCCAGGAGGGTCGCCGGTAGGATTGCTGGCACTCCTGACCCCAACCTTGCTACGTGGCTTTCCTGGCCTGACCCTTTGTGTGGGTCTGAGCTGCTGACCTGAGGTAGAGTCACATTCCCTGCTTGAAAAGGAACAGAGCAGCGGAGGAGGGTGTCAGGCCAGTGTGCTACATTTTTAGCTTTAAAAGCTTATTCTGTGTCTGCTTCAAATGCTACTTTTTTTTTTGGTTTTTACCTCAATTCCCCCATCCCAGCAGGGAGACCCCATTGTCCTTTCCTGACAGGCCTCCAGGGCTGGGCTTTTCCAAGGTCTGGGAGGATGGAGGGGAATCTGAACTGCGCAGCCCAGCGGGCAACCCTCAGGCTCTAGGCCTGACTACCTGGCTTCATACTGTTGCCACTTATAAGCTGGGTGACTGTGGGTGTGTTTCTGAGAGTCTCTGTGCATCAGTGTTGCACAAGAGGTCTTCTGTTATCTGTGTGTCTGCAACAGAGCTGTTGTCACTGCCAGCATTGGTGGGCATCAGGGTCAGTTCCGGAAGGAGTGAGTGATGTGTGTGGGTCATCACCTTGGGTACCACGGTTTTGGTGGGAAGGTGACTCTTGCCTCTCTGCTTTCCTCTTGGTGTAAGTTGCTAGGAAGATTCCATGAGCACTTGCTAAGCAAGAGGTTCATGGCGTAAGGCTGGCCAGCACTTGTCCTTTTAGGGACAGATGTTCTCAACCAATAAGGTAGAGGTGACACAAAAGGGTGGAGTCTGATGGCAAGATGGAGAGACTCCTTTTCCTGGGTACAGAGAGGTGTCCTGGTGATATTGGGAGGGGTTGGGGGGGTTGAGGGGGTCTGACCCATCGAGGAGGAGAAGAGGGAGAAGAATGACACATTTCGCATCCCACCCAACCTGGGCTCTTCACACATCATCTGTTCCTCATGGGATGAGGGTTTCCCACATGTACAGTGGGGGCACCAGACATGTGGGGAAGGTGCTGACCCCAGGGGTGAAGAGCATTGAAGCCATCCAGGTCCTGTGCTTCAGGGCCCCAGGAACAAACGCAGTTCTCACTTCTGGCTCTAGGTGTCCCAGATAGGGACCTGCATGGATGGGGATGGACCTGTAGGGGTGGGGGTATGCTCTTCCTTCTCAGTAGAAGTACTGAGCAGTGGGCAGCTTTCTTCCATCTCCTACAGTGTGAGTCTGGGTAGCCGCCGCAGCCTAGCCTGGTACCTGGGTCCTGGTGCTCTCCCTGTACCTGCCTCCTCACTCTGCCCAGCCCTCACCACCTGTCTCCCAGGAGGGAGAGACACCCTGGAGATGCAGGAAGCTGCTGGAGGATAATAAAAGTTATGGCAGTGCATGTCAAGTGTGGCCAAGCATCTTTCTCCTGTCACCTTCATTCTGCAGCAGAGGAAATCCAGACCGGAGGAGTAGAGTGACTGGCCCAAAATCACACAGCTGACCTGGGTGAGGGAGGGGCCACGGGGGGCCCACTGCAGTCCAGGTTTTGCCCTCTGGACAGTTCCTGGATCCACCTTTTCCATTTCTGCAGTGGCCATGCTCCAGAGAGGCACTGGACACCCCTTATGTGAGCTCCCCTGCCACAGGCCCTTTCTGACCCATGTTGCAGATGTGCAAGCTGAGGCCAGGAAGGCACCCAGGCTTTTCTGAAGTCAGTCTGCCATTCATCTTCTTGACCACTACTCCAGAGTATCTCGTGACAGTCCGGCCAATCCTTCCACGGCTACAATTGGAGTATATGTGTCCCATGCTCCCCCAGGCCTGGGGACTGCCTCTGCAACTAGAGAGAAAGGGGAAGCAGGCTGTGTAAACAGGCAGAGGCAGGGTCAGTCTCTGCACTCGGTGGGGGAGATGCAGGGACATCCTGTTCTCTCTGCTGTCCAAACCACCAAGGTGAGGTGGGCAGCCGCTAAGAGTCTGCCCTGTGACCTTGCTCTGTAGCCCGGCTCCTGTGTAGGCATTGTGTGCCCTCAGGTGTAGGATTTGAAGTCTCTGTCTCCATTTCTGCATCTAAAAGGGAGAATGGTAGTAGTACTCACCTTGCAGGGCTTCTAGAAGATTGTTAGTGAGCTTGGAGGAGCAATGACAGAATGTCAGAGACTAGGCAATGTGCGTCTGTGTGTGTGTGTGTGTGTGTGTGTGTGTCTGTCTGTCTGTCTGTCTGTCTGTCTGTCTGTCTGTCTGTCTGTTGTGTCTATGTAGGTATATGCACTCTTAAACATGGAGTCCAGAGGTCAATGTCAGGTGTATTCCTTGACCACTCTACGCTTTTTGTTTGTTTTGTTTGTTTGAGACAGGCTTTTCACTGTACCTAGAGCTATTTTGGCTGGGCTAACTAGTTACCAGGCTCTAGGGATCCGCCTATCCATCTCCTCGTGGAGTTACAAACATCATGTCTACCCTTTACATGGGTACTGTGAACCCAAACTCAGGTCCCGATGTTTGCACAGCAAGCACTTTCCCCACTGAGCCCTCTCCTCAGGCTGCGACTAGGTTATGCATTGATCAAGAAAGAGATGTAGCTGAGCCTGTTTGCATGGACCTGTAATCATTGCTGTTTAGAAGCTGAGGCAGGGGGATCAGGAGCCTGAGTGAGTACAGATCAGCCGGGGCAACTTGTTGTCTCAAAATAAAATAATATTAAAAGAACTGTGGATATAGATCAGTAGATGAGTGCTTGTTTATCATGTACAAGAGCCCTAGGTTAATCCTCAGACACCCAAAAAAAAAAAAGATCTATTTTCTATAGTTCTGGAGGCTAGGATGTC